GGTGATGGAGAGTCGTCGGAGATGGGCTTATAGATGTCATCCAGGATAACTGTTGATAGAAATTAGACTAAGTCTAAGGTTGACTTCTACTGGAAGAAGTATCTGAATAAACCTTTGGATGATTTAAACTAAACTAACAGATGTCTGCGTTGTCTTTAACTGGGAAATAATCAGAATGAATCTTTAGTCCATTTAAACTGAACCAGAAGAAGTGCCTATTGGAAAAGTATCAGAATAAATCTTTGATCGATTTAAAATGAACTAGCAGATGTCTTATGTCATATTTAATAAGAAAATAATCAGAATAAATCTTTGGTCGATTTAAAATGAACCAGAAAAAGTTCCTATTGGAATAGAATCAGAATAAATCTCTGGTCGATTAAAATTGAATCAGCAGATGTCTTGTGTCGTCTTTAATTGGAAAATAATTAGAATAAATCTTTGGTCGATTTAAACTGAACCAGAAAAAGTGTCTACTGGAAAAGTATCAGAATAAATCTTTGGTCGATTTAAATTGAACCAGCAGATGTCTGTGTTGTCTTTAACTGGAAAAGAATCATAATAAATCTTTAGTCGATTTAAATTGAACCAGAAGAAGTGCCTACTGGAAAATTATCGGAATGAATCTTTGGTCGATTTAAACTGAACCAACAGATGTCTTGCGTCGTCTTTAACTGGAAAAGAATTAGAATAAATCTTTGGTCGATTTAAATTGAACCAGAAAAGTTTCTAATGGAAAAGTATCAGAATAAACCTTTGGTCGATTAAAACTGAACTAGCAGATGTCTTGTGTCGTCTTTAACTGGAAAAGAATCAGAATAAATCTTTGGTCGATTTAAATTGAACCCAAAAAATGGTCTACTAGAAAAGTATCAGAATAAATCTTTGGTCAATTTAAACCTAACTAGCAGATGTCTTGTGTCATCTTTAACTTGAAAAGAATCAGAATAAATCTTTGGTCGATTTAAACTGAACCAGAAAAAGTGTCTACTGGAAAAGTATCAGAATAAATCTTTGGTTGATTTAAACTGAACCAACAAACGTCTTGTGTTGTCTTCAACTGGAAAAGAATCAGAATAAATCTTTGGTCGATTTAAACTGAACTAGAAAAAGTGTCTACTGGAAAAGTATCAGAATAAATCTTTGGTCGATTTAAACTAAACCAGTAGATGTCTGTGTTGTCTTTAATTGGAAAAGAATCAAAATAAATCTTTAGTCGATTTAAACTGAACCAGAAAAGTGTCTATTGGAAAAGTATCAGAATAAATCTTTAGTCGATTTAAACTGAACCAGCTGATGTCTTGTGTCGTCTTTAATTGGAAAAGAATCAGAATAAATCTTTGGTCGATTTAAACTGAACCAGAAAAAGTGTCTACTGAAAAAGTGTTAAAATAAATCTTTGGTCGATTTAATCTAAGCCAGAAAAAGATCTACTGAGAGAAGTATCAGAATAAATATTTGGTCGATTTAATTTGAGCCAACAGAGATTTGAAGGAAGTATCCATCATGTATCCATCATGGAGCTACATCTGGATGTCCATAAAACACATTTGGTCGTTGTTAGATCAAGATCGGATGGTCCGAAGTTCAAGCTCAAAAATTTGGATTTTTAATTATTTTTACTTATTTTGTGAACTAATTGATATGAATCTACAATCACCAATACACTAACTCCAGGTAATCCATTATTTACTTTACTTTCTATTTTCATTTTCTCCTTGCTGCACGGTTTTATTCATGAAAGTTAGATTTGGTTTTGCTTTATGCTGCACGGTTTCATGTTCCAATGGGTATCTTTTGATTTCCTTGAGAAGAAGATGGAAGGAACAATAAGGCTTTGTATTAATTGATTTCGAGGTCATTAATAGCAACAATAAGACAGATGGCGTAGTGGTTGGGCATTTGATGTATGATCCAAGGATACTGGGTTCGAATCCTTGGTGAGGCGATATGTGAGATAATTTTTTAGGCATTTGATTTGAAATAATCCAGTCAACAAATCTAGGATGCCAACTAGGAAGATTCCCCATGCCCAGTCAGCTAAACATGGAATAGGGGGTTCTGCAAATGAAATCTTCATTTCATAAGGGACGGATCACAAAAAAAAGTACTTCAAGGGGGAAAATCTAAACTCGCCCTATTAGTAGGGGGCATCTTATATTTAACCCATAATTATTTAATTTGATTTGGGTTGTATTGTGTGATTTAAGTTATGGAATTTGGTTAAACTTTTCATTTGGCTCTATCCCATTCATAAACAATGTATTACACTTCCCCTAGAGTTTGTAATAATTAGTATTTAGTTTGTTTGTGTATTTATTTAATTATTCACCATCATTTGCTTGTGCACAACTAAAACATCACTTTTTAAACTAATACTTGATTGCGAATCATTTTCATCCCGTAAGTTGACAAAGATTTTAAGCGTTACAATGACCACACAAGCACACTTTCAAGCTAGTTCCTGGGCCTTCTTACAGTATACTAATATTCGATTAATTGCTCCAATTGGTCATTTAGAGGCTAGTTCACTTTGCTAGCTTATAAAAATTATGTCATATTGTTTTTGCTTTATCATTTATGCTTTTGTGAGCCACCTTGTATGGGCTTTTTATATTTAATGGTTTATCATATTCCCCATTTAAAAGGTATACCCTCATCCCCATAAACTTATAATAATCTATTTACTTGCTTCCTTGTATGCTTATATGCCTTATCCACCATTGTACACTTCACACACTTAACTTAATTGAATCAAATTCTAGCATCTTGGTCCATATACCAACCATTAAAACACTTTCATAATCAAATTTCCAAACTTCAATCCAACATAGAGTAATTTTCATAACTCTTTTCTCAAAGAAATAAGGATTTCATAGTGGAGGGTAGACATGTGCCTATTCTCTCGAGGTTAATCAAGGATAAGTCACGTGGCTTATATTGACTAATCATGACCTGACTAAGATATCCTTAAATAAATTGAGTTTAATTCTAACTTAATAATAATAAGGAGGGGGGAAATGTATCCCATCTCTCTTGTAAGCGCTTGAATACAAGGAATGTCTCTTAATATTCATTGTTCACCTACTGTTAAGGGGTTAGACTTAAAGTCACCTCACTTTTTCAAAATAAACAAAAGACTAAATGGGAAGGATATGGTACTTACCTTATCTTTCCCTGTGTGTTTGTGTATAAGGAATGTCCCTTAGTATTTCAAACACTTGTGTCCGATAAAAACAACACAAGTCATCAAATTTATTTTTCTTCGCCTTTGTGCGACTCTTACGCAAACCTTTTCATAAATGAATGTACATTATCCATTTCAATACGAAACAAATACAAGGACTTGGTTCCCCGAACGAGCAAAACAAGTTATAGTTCTAACGTTTGCAATGTCTAACGCATCATTCTTTTAAAATCAACCAACACACAATTTTAGTTCTTTTTTTAGAAGAACTACAAAGTTCTTACTTTCCCATTGCACGAGAGAGTACGTAGGCACACGTTATCTTGGCGAACTCAAAATAATCTAAAAATAAACCCCTTCTTCTTTCTCCTTTCTCTAATAAGATTGTCACTAAACACTTAAACACATACGAGCTAAATGGTTCCTATCGAGTACGATGGATGTGATGAGTGCTAATACATTTCCCTTGTATAACCGACTCCTGTACCCATCTCTTGGTCTCGAAGACCATCTTATTCTTTGTTTGTGGGTTTTATTTGATATTTCCCCTTTTCTTCTTGGAATAAATAAAAATTCGATGGCAAATTCATTATATTAAAATTTTTAGTCAGCTTACGATAATCTCTAACCTAGTTGTAGTGTGGAACTTACGTGTGTTTTCGTTAGGGTTTGTGTGTGTTAATTGTGAGCGTCTCGAATATCATCTTGATAAAAGAGTAAGATTGTTCTATTAAGTTGTAAGTTCTTCCAGTCATTCTAAAAGATTTTAAGCATTAAATGATTATGTGTTATTGAAGGTTGTCTTCAGTTCTTTTGAATTGTGTTGTTTTCACTGTTTTGCGATTGTAAGGGATTTGATAAGGGTCTCATACCTAGGTGAGTCTTAGGTAAAAGTTAAGCAAGGGTAGTGATTAAGTGACTAGATTGTAAATTAGTGAGAGTTTGTTGTGGATCTACAAATTAATACTATCTAGTTGATTACGTCCCTGACTTGGTAGCCCCCAGCATAAGTGTTGTTGTACACCAGACTGAGTTAACAATTCTGCTTGTTCCTTTATTTTTTGCACTATTTTATTGTTTGAAATTGTTCATTATGTTGTTGTTCATAGATCAGTGTCTCGACATCTCTTAAAACATATGATATTTGTATACCATAATTTCAGAGAGAACAAGGTTAGGAATGCACTACCTCGTTTTCCTCCCACCACTTAAGGCTCATGGCATATAATTCGCATCTTTATTCATTAAGTGTTTTTGGAGTTTTGAAGAAGAAATTAGTTTTAGTCTTAAAGATGCAATGCAAAAGAAGAAAAAGACTAAGGGGAGCTAATCCTAATGTTGTCATGTCTCATGGTCCTAAAGTTTGGATTAAAGGATATTCTAATTAATTGTTGTCATGCTTGATTTTAAAGCCTAATGTCTAATTTTAATTCAATTTAATCAAATATTAAAATTGAATTAAAACAACTCTAAGAGATCATGTTAATAACATACAAGCAAGTACATACATCAAGCAACGAGCATCAAGATATTGCACATAATCCATACTAAAATAATACCCTAGATTGCGAACAAACACATGTCATGAAAATGAACAAAACTAGTGATTAAAATTGAACAAAAGAGTTAGAAAATGGGAAAAGAAATTCCTAATTAATTTCTAAAAATGTCTCTTAAAATCTAATATTTTTTACTATTTTTTATTATGTATTTTTGTTATCAAAAGAAAAAAAGAAAATTATTAGCGAAAGTAAATGGGAAAAGAAATTCTAAACAGAGGGGGGGGGGGGGGGGGGTATTGATAACGTGAGGTATGAAGCAGCAGAAGGTTTTGACACATTCGAATGTATTTGGGCTTGGTTCAGTTGGTCCAGGAAGGAGTTTTTTGTGACACAAAGCTTCTGTGTGCAAAAAGAGGGGAAAATGTGTTATGGACTCGAATGGTGGTGTATTGTAGTGTAAAGTCCAATCGAAAGTACAGTCAGTCCAAGTCTCAATTATCAACATCAATTCATTCAATTTCTGAATTATCACTTATGAGAATAATTTATATATATAGTAGTATAAATTCTTTTTACACAATTAACCAATAAAAAGTTAATAATTTTCTATGTTATTAAAAAAGTTTTAAAATAAAATTGAATATAATTAAATGCATGATTGTAATTAGTTAATAGTGTAAAATTATTTTACACTATTATTATATTATTTGTTTTCTCTATTATTTATTAATATTTTATTAAAAATATTAATTATTATGCACGGTCAATATAAAAAGTTTTAAACTATTAATATATTACAATCACTTATAAATATTATTTTATTAATAATTAAAATAAAAATTAAATTTAATTTAAAATTAACAAATAACATTCACTCACAAACAATATAAAATTTCTTTACCTGTTTGTGTATTCTAATTAAATTCTTTATTAAAATAAAAAAAACGAAACAAAAATGTTGAAGAGCTAAAACGCTGCGTTTGGGTTGTTTTTGTGTTAATACTTGTAACGTTTCAACTTCTTCAGAAGCTCAAACCTTCCTCACTCATTTCATCTCTTACGATTTCCGATTCCATCTCCGCCGTGCCGGTAATCGCCTCCGACGGTGGCGGATGTTCTCTCAACCTCAAATCACCATCATTCTACTCGTCTTTCTCCTCTTCCACGAGCTTCCATTCGTTTCTCCTAATTTCAAGCCAAACAATCTACATCTAACTGAATCAAAAGAACTAATGCAAAATGAAATTGAACGGTGCTAGTTAAAGGTCTCGTCGCAAGACCTTGGGGCAAACGTTCACGGAGTGTCAGGCCCCAGTGTGGCAACAAGAAAGAGCAAAAAAGATGAAGATCAAGGAGAGATCGGTGATAACCAACTACGGAACGGAGGAGTGTTCTGGTGTTTGTTGCAATCGGAGGTGACGAATGAAACGAAGAGAAACCCGATCCTAGCCGCGATTCCTTCAGGTAATGATCTCTTTTCTTCTACTCTTCTTCTCGTTCTTGCTTCTTCTTCTTCTTCCGAAATCTCTGCCCGTCTGAGTTGTGGTTATTGTTGCGCGAGTGATGTGTGAAGAGAGTGAGTCATTGAGAAATAAACTCAGTGGAGAAGACTTCCTGAAGCGTGCGTTGATGTTTTGGTGAGATTGAAGCGCGGAGAGGAAGAGAGAAATGGTGGTTATCGCGTTGTAGGTTGAAGCGTAGAGAAGATGAAGATGGAGCTCGGAGAGAGAGAAATGATTGAAGGTGAATGACGTGTGTGATTGATCTGAGATGAGAGATTGAAGGTGGAGAAGATGAAGATTCTGTGGTGAAGTAGTGAGAGTGAATCGTTGGAAACTGAATTGAGAGAGTGAAGCTGAGTTATATAGATGTTGAAACTTGAAGGTAGTTAGATTGAGGAACATTGAGAGCCCTTGGATCTGAAGGAGTTTGTTATGAGATGAAGGGTGTAGATGGAGTCGGTTATATTGTTAGTTGGAGGGTTGATGAGCTGGCATAATTCTGTTATTGTGTTAGTTATGTCTAGGCTCAGGTAGTTATTCAGGTTAGGGTGAGTTAGTTGAGTGAGGTTCAGATCTAAGTTAAATGTTAACAGGTTTGGATGAATTTGATTCAGTTTTGGTTCCGAATGAATGTGAAGTTAGATAGCTGTTTTTTTATTCAATGAATTGGATAACTACTTTTATGGAGTGATCTGTTTTTTGTTTGTTGAACTGGATTGGGATGAAATGATGGGTTAGCTTTAGTGAACTTATGCATAGGTTGGAACAACAATTAGGAGAAAGATTAGTGAAGGCATTAGGCTGTTAGCTTAGTTAGTTAAAAACTGAAGGTTAGTTAGCCGATTTAGGAAATTAGTTAGTTAAAAAGGTTGGTTTGAAATCTGCCAGCGTTAGTAGGAAATGCTAGTTTGTGATTTTAGCGGAATGGATGGAAATGATGGTTAGGTTATGTTTAGAAGTGAATGTATGGCTTGAATTTTGTATGGATTCCAGAATGATATTCGAAGTAGAACTAGAGCTGCAACTTGATGAGTACTTGACTGTTTTTTTTTTTTTTTGACATTGGCATTATGCAGGTTTGGTTTATGAACTTTTTTGAATGTTTTTACTTGGTTGAAAATGCATTGTGTGGTTGAATCGAATTGGTGCTCTACTACATGACTTACGAATCCCCTAGGTATGCATATGATAAGAATTATGGTGATGTATTAAACCATTGATAATGGACTGAAACCTGAGTATTTTACACGTGTTCTCAAATTTTCAGCGAATACGCAGTGTCCCTGAGCTTGATGTATGCCTGAGTATACTAATCTTGTAGCATTTATTTCCCTTACAGGCATCTGTAGCATTTAAGTTGTAGCAGGCTAATGGTTTGAATAGAGTGTACATGGCAGCTTCCTATGTATTTTCATGCTTGACTGATCCTTAATGCAAGTGACAATGGAATGAGCCCAAGGTAATGGCTTGAACTTGCTATTTTCTTGGTTTGAACTGGTCGGGCATGTGTGTTCTTTTGTTATAAGTGCAGGATGCTTATGTGTGCATATAACCGATATCATTGTGACTTCACATGCAGGTCTGGACAACATTTGTTTTAGCATAGCTGGATGTTATCAATGTGTCCTTGAGCATCGTTTCAACTAGAATCTTGGAGCTTGCCATAGAGCTTTGGGTTTATTGAAATCAAACATAAAGATGAAGTGAAGGTAGAGCAATGTGCAATGAGATGGAGATTAAAGACTGAAAGCTTGGATACTCACTTGAACATGAGGAATCATAGAGAGATGAATTGATGGAGTTAGAAGATGGCAAGAGGAAATAGCCTTAGGAACTAGGTTTAGGGACATGTTTGTAGTTTTGAATTGACGGTAACGTGTATTATAACTCTTGTACTTTGAAGTGTATCATGAATGATATTGCATGCTTGCAAATGGATAAACTTTGATGGAATTTTGATGAGCGATCCTTGATTGTAGCTTGTCATGATGATGAATGAAATTGAATAGAATTTGAATGGATTTGCTTGATGCTTGAATATGGTTTAATGGAACTTGAATAAAATTGTTCGAAAGCCTTAACTCCCCGTATACTTCTCATGAATACTTTGCAAAATTGAACTTTGAACCATGTTAAATGACTCCCATATGATTTCCAATTTCCTTTACTACCATGATATTATTTCTCCTTTCATGCTTTAACCCATAACCTATTGGATGAGTATTAGATGAAACCTTGGTCAAAAACTTGTCCATGCACACCTTAAATCAATCTTTGTGTGCATCTCAATCTTTTGTGATAAATTGAATCCGAATTGACCTTACATACCATGTTATGATCATCAATGAACCTTAATTTCAATGCTTTAAATCCATGTTATCAATGTCCTTTGGAAGAGCATCACCCTTGAAATGTTGAGAGAAAGAGGCTTAAGATAGCTATGACACAAAATCTTAGTTTATAGGATCCTCAGTTGTAATATTACTCCATTCAAGCATAAGGATAAGAAACCCTACTTGTTTGCCATTTGTGACCATTGATGGAGAAATAGCCTTGAGAAAGAGCTCCATATTGATTATAACCAAGATCTTAATTCCACAATTCATTGCACAAAGAACCAAAGAAATCAGTCTTTATTTGATATGCACTCCTAAAAAAAGTGAAACTCTAGCTACTGATCCTTGATCCCGTGCCAAGTTTTATTGATTAATGATGCATGATTTATCAGATGATCTAAATGGAGAAGTATGTAAAAGAATACAAAGCCTAAGCCAGATAAAAGTAAAGGGACATGACAAATTTGGGGTATGACAGCTGCCTTTATTTAATCGTCTTAAACCTGAAGGTGAGATTGGCGTTAGTCTTTCGAACATTCAAGATAGAAGAAGATTAAATACAAAGACCTAAAATTTGTCCTGAAGAGAATGTGTGAGTGAGTTTTTTTTTGTGATATCTGTTGGGGAAAGAAAATTTGTTTTTCTGATGGAAAGGTTTGTGATGAGAGAGTGTGATTGAATGGTAAAGCTGATACCAAATCCAAAGAAGGTGAGATCTACGGGCGATCTACAAAAGAAAAACTAGATCTATGGGCGACCTACAATCCTTAGAAGGTGACAACGGTAGTAAGATCTATGGTCGATCTACAACACGAAGGAACACCAAAGGATGGTTAAGATCTACGAACAATCTAAAACTTAGAAAGAAGGGAAGATTGATTGTAACACAACGACTGAAGATATGATAAATGACGAAGTGTATTGATTTTACTGGGAATTTAGGAGTACAAGGTACTGGCAGTGTTAATTGGAGATTATGATGCAGGGAAGGGCATCAACTGGGGATTTACCATTATTTTGGTGGAGGAATGATTCGGGCTCTCGTGCAAGATACCAAATCCGGCTTATACTTCGTATGCATGTTTGGATTTTTTTATGGTGTAATGGTCCATTTCAATGGATATGCTGCGCGTTTGAGGATGTAATGTTATGCAGTGATAACTATATGCAAAGTGCAGAGAAATAATCTTTGTGGGGGTAAGAACAAGATCATTGGGACCTGTTGCTCGCTGTCTTGAGATACCAACACATATTGGTGCTGGAAAGTTTGTGGTACCAAAGGTTACTGGCATTTTACTGGGGATTGAATTGTAGCTTTGCTGGGGAGGAAGTGATCTGGTTTGACTTCCATACATCCTAGACTGTTTGGGGATGGTAGATTGAATGTGTTGGGGAATTGCATGATGAACATCCCTTGGATCTCTTCGAATGCTCTGAGACTGCTTCATGATGGGGAAATATATCTTGAACTGATCGGGGATTAGGAGATGGACATGGATCTCCTCGACTGCTCCGAGTTTTCTTCTCTGCTGGAGATTACGTGACAATAATTTATGGGGATTACACGCTTAACCACATAGAACTCCTCAAGTGCCCCAAGTTTACTCTATTGGGTAATTAAGTATTAAATATGTGTGCTGAACTATGGTTCAAGCTCGCTCCACTATTGGGGTTTATACTTTGAACATCTACAGGGGATGAGAACGACTTTCACAATGTTGTCTAGGTCAAGGAGACCATTATGACTTTCTACCTGCACAAAGAAACAATGCTTGGGGGTGCCACAACACTCCTTTGGGATGATTTTATGTCAATGTAAAGTCATGTTTCGTTTTAGCTTGAGATTATTATTCTCCAACATTTTCAATGAAATGTTTAATAAAGAATTAAATCACATTTCGCATATGAAAAATTAAAACTAATAAAGAAATCTTTTTGGGAAAAGATTTTTTATTGATGAATGGCCTTTAAATATGCATTTGTACAAGGAGGCAACTCCTAAATGAGGTAGTTGCGAAAAAGAAGAAAATACAATAGGTAAAATGGAAATGAGAAATGCTCAAATTTACATTAAAACCTATATTTCTATAGTTCCCATATCCTTCATAGTCACAATTCTTTTCTTATGAAGAGTAGTAGTTGGACTGATCTGTTCACTGCCAACGTGAAAATGATGTACATGGTCATTCACGAAGAGTATTCAGACTGCAACCTCTCGCTCATGATCCCTTATTTTTTCCTGGATCACCCTTTTGGGTTTTCAATCCAGTGGGATACCCATTTTTGGCTAAGTCACCCTTTCGGGTTTTTGACTTAGCGGTTTATTCTCTCTTTTCATTCTTTATCCCTAATTTTTGCCTCGACTTAGCGGGTCTTTTTATGCATAGTATTTTTGACTGAGTCTAAATTGACTGGAAGTAAAACGTCTTCCCCATCCATGTCTGTCAGAATTAGAGCGCCTCCTGAGAAGTCTTTCTTCAAGATGTACGGTACCTCATTGTTGGGAGTCCACTTGCCCATTGGATCAGAATGACTTGGAAAAGTAATCTTATTTACGAATAAGTCACCTGGATAAAACTTTTGAGGTCGAATCTTCTTGTCAAACGCTTTCTTCATCCTCTTTTGGCACAACTGACCATGACAGATGGCTGTTAAGAATTTCTCCTCAATCAGAATGAGCTGGCCAAGCCTTGTCTGAACCCACTCTGCCTCATCAAGCTTGGTATCCATCATAACCCTTAATGAAGGAATCTCTACCTCGACTGGAAGCACATCATATGTACCATAGACAAGAGAAAAGGGAGTTGCCCTGATTGAAGTTCCCACAAAAGCCCAGTAGCCATGCAGAGTAAAAGACATCATTTCATGCTAATCTTTGTATGTTATCACCAATTTCTGGACGATCTTCTTTATGTTCTTCTTAGCAGCTTTAACTGAGACATTCATCTTTGACCGATAAGGTGATGAACTGTGGTGTTCAATCTTGAACTCTTCACACAACTCTTTCATCATTTTGTTGTTGAGATTAGAACCATTACCAGTGATGATACTATTGGGAATCCCATAACAACATATGATTTCCTTTTTGATGAAGCGAGTGACAAATTGCTTGGTTACATTCTTGTAAGAAGTTGCTTCCACCTACTTGGTGAAATAGTCGATAACAACGAGGATGAACCTGTGTCCATTCAAAGTGCTTGGCTCAATTTGTCTGATCATATCAATGCCCCACATCACAAAGGGCCACAGTGAAGTTAGAACATTCAAAGGAGTTGGAGGGACGTGGATCCTGTCCGCGTACACTGGGAACTTGTGACACAACTTTTCATACACACAACAGTCACTTTCCATCGTCATCCAGAAATACCCTGCTCGTAGAATTTTCTTGGCCATAGAATGTAATTGGAATGAGTCCTAAAAGAGCCCTCGTAGATTTCTTTTATGATCGACTCTGCCTCGTGTCTATCTATGAATTTGAGTAGAACCGAATCATGATTTCTCTTGTACAAAACGTCTCCTCACAAGAAGAACTTGGATGCCAATATCTGCCTTAATACCTTCCATTTTGTTTTGATTAGTGAGATGCTCTATGAGGAAATTTTCGATCAGAATATCTGAAATCAATCTCTTCATAGGAATGTAATTCTTCTTGGACTTTCCAAATATGACCTTTCTAGTTCCTATGATCGAATCTCTCAGATAGTTAAAGAGAAAAGATAAAAGACGTACCTTCAATCCTTTCATTAGAAATTATAATATACAT